TCATACATAATATGAAATGTATTTCCACATAAAAATAAAATTCAGACTGCTACAGCATATCGAAACAACTGCATTTGTACATTTGTAAAGTGCAAATTTAATCAAGGCAATTATAAAAGTATACAATACCTCTGGGCAAATAGTAAACACCACTGAGATGTTTTTCATCATCCCGTATTCTATCAGTGAAAGAATGTTTCATATTGTGGTATAGGTTTGCTCATTAGACATCAGTAACACTAAAGCAAAATCTAGGAACATAAGCAAAGTGTAGGCATCTTGAATAAAGATCAGTGTGTGTAAGAGGTACATGGTAAATAAACCCCAACATCTCATGTGCTACTAGGCTGTAGTATACAGAACAGACTATCACACAAGGAATGCCAGGGAACCATCTTTGAATTTAAGCACAGATTATTTTTTTTATTTAAATATATATCACACATCGTGTTATATAACAAAATAACTGACTAAACCACATATCAGTGTGTTAGTGAGTTGATATCTCCTCAACTAATGCAAAAACATCCTCTTACTTACTCTTTTATATATTATATATTCTATATATAATATATAAAATCACTTTATTGTACAAAGGATACCAAGGTTACAAGCATTTTATCTGCATTAAGTACACAATATGGCTTGAGCCCACGTTCATTGTCATTTTCTGTCATTTGCTGGTACTTGCTGCCATTTGCTTCAAGCAAACTGTAGAACAGAAACGCAAATTTTTCGTCTCTAGTACTCAAGCCATGGAAGAGAAGTGATCCTCAACAAAAGAACAGAAATATATATTCATTCTATAAAATGGACTGTGAAAGCTCCTATCTCACAAATCAGTGGGCCTGGTCCTCAGATGAGGAACATCAGTTTGGTTCTCTCTCCTTTGGTGGAGCTACACTAGCTTCCACCACCATAAAGGATATGCCCAGTTACCTGTAGCAGTATCATGATCCTTCTTCATAAATGGCTTTTCAGATACTCTAGCACCTATTAAACCTCCCAGTTTTCAGTGGTATACCAAGGATTCTTACCATTCCAGACAGCCTCCCCTACAGGAGCATTCCCTGGTGTTCACTTCCACTTTGGTTCTTAACTGTTACTCAGCACTGTGGATAAGTAATTGTGGGTTGTTTCTTTTTTTTCCATGTTCCACATGCCTTCTCATTTTCTTTCCAGTCACTGTCCTTCTGCAGCTATATCTCTGAAGAAAAATGTTCTGCAGAAGTGGTTCCGTGTACAATCTCTACACTACTCATATGGTCATCTTTTGTTGGAGAAGTTCCTTCTGTGATGCCAGCAAATATCCATTCTAATATTTACAGTTCTTGAGTGAATGTGCTAAACAAGCAGATACTTCATTGCCTGCTTTGTCTCTGCTTCAGCTACAGAAATGGGTCTCAGATCATACTTTAAACTAATTCGGCTCTTAGCACATATAATTTTTTGAATAATTAAATCTAATCTATCACAAGAATAACAACAGTTTTTCATCTGAAACACTCCTGGGTATATAAGCCAGTTTTTTGTACAGTGTTACAATGTAAAGATTGCAACTGAGAATGTTTTGTTTTCCAAGGTTTATGTCTTAATATGATCCCTTGTGTTTGTCCCCTGTGTTTTCACACTTCCTAAAATAGATCACTGTACTATTTAAATTCAAACTTACTAACATTGAGGTTTGAGAAAGAGCTTAATAGCCTTTTATTTTTCTGTTTTACATAGCTGACAGCAGAGCTGATTGAAGGTGTTATAATGGGATAAGAAGCCTATGATACCATTTAGTAGTATTTATGTTTTCTCCAAATGACCGGTTTTCAAAAGAATATCTTCAAACAGCTTGCCAGCATTCACAGTCTCCACACTGCAAATGACTTACTATTTTATTACTTTATGTTAGAGCATGTATTTGTGGATGCCACAGCCCTGGAAGTGTTCAAGGCCAGGTTGGATGGGGCTCTGAGCAACCTGGTCTAGTGAGAGGTGTCCCTGCTCATTGCAGGACACCAGGTTGGAACTGAATGATCCTTAAGATCCCTTCCAACCCAGAACATATGACTCTATGATCATAAAATAACTAAAATTGAATGTTTTCAAGTAAGATTGGTTAGCATTACTTGTAGTGCTATGGCTGGAATTACAACTTCTGAATGTCAGAAAACCTACAGTGAATGCCTGTACATGAATAATGCATTGAAGACTAATGAAAGCTTTGTTTATTTTTGTATTTGAAGACAAAGAGTAATGTAACAGTCATTAAATATCCCTAGTATTATTTTCATTCAAAAGCCTGAAAGCAATTATTTGGCACAGTGCATACTAATAAAGAAATCCAATGGCACAGAAAATAATTATTTGATTGCAAGAATAATTGCCTAGACTACATTTGCAGAAAATAATATATTTATCTATCTCTCTCTTACTAGTCCACAGAATTAGAGTTTGTGAAGCCCCTGGGACAGGGTGCAAGGTTACAGAGATAGGTGATCTGGCCATTTCTCACCTGCCCTTGCCCACCTGCCCCACTGGAGACACAAGTACAAGTGTATAATCTGCTGCATTTTCAGACCCTTGTCAAAAGAGTGAACACAAGGGGTCTTGTTCCCCTTAATGCAGCTTAGCTTGTCGATGTGTCACACTGGAAAAGGAATTGCCTGAAATTATTGGGATGCAGGACTTTGGCACTTCAGTGCATATCGTATGCAGAATGCAAAAAAGTAATGGGCCACCCTTCAGATCACTGCAGATACTGAACTACCATCCAAGGCCACACTGCTTTTTTTTTTTAGTATTGTCATCTGATTTTAAATTACAAAATGATTCCAAATGGGGTTTTTTGGCTTGTCTAGTAACACATTTACAAAGTGCAACTGAAAAATGCATATTGGGCTTACATATAATTAATAAATTACTATGATTATGTATTTCATCGTATAAAAATGAATGTTTATTAATTTATCTGCGCAGGAACAGTCCCTGAATCTAATCATACATGGATTCTGCTATTCTTAGCCTGTATGCCTAGGGCAGATTCTCATCAGGATACAAAAATTTAGCTTAGCAAGGGAATCTGTAATCTGTGCCTGAACATTGCCGCACCATTATACTTGCTCTGCTTTGGGCAGCCTGTTAAGTGTTTTAAGAATTCATCTCAAGGAAGCACACAAGTGGAGAAATTAGGTTTATAAGCAAATAAACACTCAGTGAAAACAAATCAATGAAAATATCAGATACCGCTTGCAGCACTTAAATTTACAAATGCTGACAGTGTCTCTCAGCATTGAGGAAATGAAGAATAAGGAACAGGAAGACAACCACTGACTACAGTGAACCCAAATGTAGAGGGCAGTAACCCAACCAGAGCTAGTACCACATCCTGCCCGACCTGTGCAAATGAAAAGTATTCTGTAAAAAGGACATTAATCACAGTAACAGCTGGCAAATACATACATGCACACATATACATACATCTGTATGTGCATATGTAATTATCTGAAAGAGTAATAAGTATCCTAAAACATTCTAATATATGCACTGCTTATTGTTTTGGGCTTTGTCTAGAGCCATCTGTTGTGATGCACCATGGCATTTGTCTCACCATACACACAGGTTTCTTCACAGGAAGCCTTCCAGGTGCAGCTACACAGGGATGGCCACTGTGGCTCTGTCCAACCTGGCCTTTTGTCCCAACAGGTGTCCTGATGGAATATTTTATCAGTACAAATCCATCATGGAACGATGAAATCTTTTAAATAAAATTCTGTTTGCTCTAGTTTAGCTAATCCTGCCTTCTTGAATGTTTATACAAAGAAGAAAAAAAAAGGGTCTTTCGAAATAAGGAAGCAGATGAAAAAATAGTTCAACATTTTGGAGTGAGGGAAAACATAAGGAAAGATCAATTTTTGTTCTACCATGTATTTACTAAAAGTATTTGATACTCATAGTGTCAGCTGGCAAATTACCACAGTTTTTGTAGAAGTAAAATAAACATGGATAGATTTTCACTGTGCACTGCATGAAATTAATAAGGCTGCATCACTGAGAGCCAGGGTGGATGAGAGGGTGGGGCGTGCAGGGGAGATTCCTCCTCAGAAAGAAGTAGGATATGGTAAGAGATGTTGGAACACGAGGTGATGATTTGCCAATCTGCAATGCTGAGTATTCATCGGTATAAAATACTTCCTTCTTAGCTGTTATTTGAAAAGTGTGAATTTATTGTACAGTGAAAAAGGTACATTTGCACTCCTCATCACAAAACCTGTGCAGTAAGGTGTCTGCACAAGGATGGCGTCTGCGAATGATGTTCCTAATATATTTCATCCAAGGAAGAGCCTATTACTTACATCGTCTCCAGTTCCAGCATTATTTGAATTACACTATAACATGAGAATCTCACAATGCTGGAAGAGACCGCTGACCATCGAGTCCAACCTATGACCAAACACCACCCTGCCAACTAGACCATGGCACTAAGTGCCGCGTCCAGTCTTTCCTTAAACATCTCCAGGGACAGCGACTCCATCCCCCAACCCTGGACAGCCTGTTGCAATGCCCAATCACCCTTTCTATGAAGAAATTCCTCCTAATGTCCAACCTAAACCTCCTCCCGTCACAGCCTGAGGCTGTGTTTCTCTCATCCTGTCACTTGCTGCCCGGTGAAGGCGACCGAGCCCCACCCGCCCACAACCTCTCAGGAAGTTGCAGGGAGCAGTAAGGTCACCCCCGAGCCATCCTATGAACGTCCATCTGAGGCCAAAAACACCGTCAAAACGTTTATTCCCGTTTTTCCTGATCGAAGGAGGACAAAACACAGGTGCCAGCAGTTCAACCCTTGAACAAACACCCTGTCACACCCCGATCAACAACTGCGTATGAAAAGGTGGGAAAAATCCCGGCCGGGAACCTCCCCATCGGCGGGAAGGGACACTCGGCACAGCCTCTCGCCCCGGAGCGGGCAGGCGCCCTGGCGGGGCGCGCCGGCGCATGCGCGGTGCGGCTCTCCTTGGGGCTGCGGGAGGGCGAGCGCCAGGCCTCAAGGAGAGGGGTCGGGACAAGGAGAGGGATCGGGACAAGGAGAGGGATCGGGACAAGGAGAAGGAGCGGGGATCGCCGCCGCCGCCGCCGCCATGTTCCTGTGCGCTCCCCTGCGCGCCGCGGCCGCACGCTCGGTAAACGGGGCCCTGCCCGCGGCGGTCGGGGAGGCCGAGGGAGCGGAGGGAGGGAGGGAGGCCGCGGCGGGGGGTTGGGAATGAGGGCTTGGCGGGGTAGGTCGGTGCCTGAAATCCAAGCTGGGGTACCACCGATTTATAGTGCCTTGTCTTCCGCAAGAGCAGCCTGATCAGCTCAGGCTTTGTAGCAGCAGATCGTGTAGTTTGACGTGCAGTGCAGTTTCACAGGATGGCTGCGGTCTCTCCCTGTCATGTGACCTCTCCCATCCCTGGAAGTGCTCAAGGCCAGGTTGGATGCGGCTCTGAGCAACCTGGTCTAGTGAGAGGTGTCCCTGCCCACGGCAGAGGGGTTGGCACTGAATGATCATTAAGGTCCCTTCGAGCCCAAACCATTCTGTGATTCTGTGGTTCTGCTTTAACACATCTCAACATTGCTCTAGAATTCAGCATAAACATAATTTAAAATTAAATTTGTTATGGAATGATTACTTATGACAAGATAAGGTGATCAAGTTACCTTAGAAATACCAACCAGAATCTATAAACTTTGATTTGTGTCTGCATGACAGTGAGCACAGAGAGTAGCTGAACAGAACCTGTGTATGGCTCTGCGTTCTGTTGACATTTCAGGTTTGTGTTTACATTTGTCCTCTTATGCCTGATCCCGGTGCTCGGTTCGATAAAGGCCGAAGAAGCATGTAAATACTTACTGGAAAAGAACCTCAGTAGTAATAATGGTTTCTGCAAACTTTGCAATGATACAAAGTAGCAAAATGGAAAATTCTTCATTAAATGTTTGATGAGACTTTGTGTTCAAGGCACTTAATTTAAGCAGTGGCATAGTTAAATCCTTTAATTTCTACATTGTTTCAATTTGTGGCCAAGGGGGAGTCAAGAGATTTTCTGTCCTAATAATACCTGAGAGCCCTCAATGGTCTTCTTCTTGACTCAGTTTAAACTATTAGTGAGGGAAGTGGAATTAATGGTTCACACTTAGAATAGGAATCAAGATTGGTTCTGAAAGCAGTGTGTGGATTATTAACCCTTAACACTGTATTTTGTTCGTAGGTAAGACAGGTCCGATACCTGCACAGAACAGCAGCACGAAATGCCACTGGAGCCTTGTTTGTGGTAAGTGATCTGCCTTGCTGTTAAGGGGGATGTGTCGGGGGAGTTTGGTGCGTGCTTTTTCTAATCTGCCTAACACCTTCCGATGGACACAACTTTGCTTTAGAAACCTGCTGGCATTTACAAAAAGTGGTTTTTTTCAGTAGAAGTTTTTATTAGATTTGTGATGGGAGTGATGGATCAAAAGGCTTTATTTTAGGTTTTGGCCTTTTTGGCCTTTCCTTATATAGCGAGAACGCTCAGTATGTAATTGCAGATGAGAGTTTGCTTACAACTTATCTCATTATAAACCAGTTCTTGTTTCCTTTATTTTTTGGAGTTAACTGAGTTTGTAATTTAGGCTCACTAAACTTTTTCAAGGTGCAGTTTCTTGATTTCTGAAAATTGCTGCAGAATCACCCTTAGGCTCAGGTCTTAGCCCTGTTTACAGGAGTTGAAAAGTCCTGTTCTTGCTCAGGTTATATATGATACAGTGTGTTGCACAGTGACTCATAATTGAGGCCATTAGGCATTATCAAGATATGTATGAATTGTTAGAGTGATTGCAAAGCCCTCAAATTTAAGTGTGTAAAGCAGCTGTGTTGTCTGTCTACCTCTGAAAAGAACCTGAAGCATCTCAAGAGAGTTGTGTTCTGTCCCGTTCTGCTCCATTCAGAGCTTTAGCTAGTCTGCAGTTTAACAACTGAATAATTTGGCATTTTCCCAACACTTGGTAGAAATCAGCCCTTTATTAGAGAGTTGACCACTTTTGAAAACAGGTGCTCAAGCATTTTTGGACAGATTATTGTTGTTGTTGTCCTTGCCTTTCTGCAGCTGTCTCTACAGCTTTAATCATGAAGTGAAATTAATGGCATCACAGTATGTGTTTGGTATAATTTTCCAGAAATCTGAGCAGGCATTGATGATTAATGGAGTGAGAGCTAGCATTCAAGGAATAGAGGAAACGTTGTAGGCTGGCATTTTAGGAAACTTCAAGTGTTGAGAGATTGGTGAAGACAGGCAGAAAGTGTCTTTGGACACCCTAATGGATGTTGATGCCTGACATATGAAGCTAGGTAGCTTTGTAAATTCTCCAGGAATTTTTCAAGATTTATGTAACTGTTTAAATTAATTGCTGCAGGGAGGAATCTGGAAACAAGAGAAAGGGAAGTAGAAAAGTTGAGTGTTTTGCAGCTGTTTATTTAATAGCACCATTGATGACTATTATTCTGCAATGGAATTTTTGCTAGAGGACCATAGGAAATAGTTTCTGTGATTTTTTTTTCTTGGTTTGGTTGGGGTTTTTGTTGTTGTTGGGTTTTAATAGGGTTTTAATTTGTTCTTCTGTGGAATAAAAGGCAGTGAGAAGACAACAGTTGGAAGCCTGTGTGTGTGTAATTGTTTGCCCTAAGTAAATTTCAGATGTTATCTAAAACAAGAAATTTCAAGGGAAACTTGTCCAGCTGGTTTGAGCTGAAGGCATTATTTTAATCAACACCAAGTAATTATATACAGTTAGAAAATGGGATGTACCCCCACATTTCTCTAGAGGGGAAAAAACCCCTCACATTCAAAAAAGACTTATTTTTTTGGAATATTACAAGCTGATGAAGTGTCAAAAGTTGTTAAAAACTGCTTGTGGGGGAATAGTGGGCCTACCTGGCAGTAAGTCTAACCTGCTTGGTGGTCTTCTTTGTATATCAGTTTACACACAAACGTCTTGGGTTTGTTTTGCAAAGCATACTGGTGCTTCCTGTTGCACTTTGACATATAAAATCTATATGCGAGGAAGGGAAATGCATGCAGGCTATTTGTTTTGTAAAGCAGGGGACCTAGTTGTCATAAAATTTAGTATTAAAAGGCATTTCTGTTTTCTATGCCTACGCATCCCTTTGCAGACATGTTACATGTTAGTAGAAACACACAGAAATAAGAGAACTTCTACTGAAATGTCTTTTTATTCTGAAACATCCAAGAACAGCTTTTCTCTCATCCATTAAACTCAATCAGGTGCCATCACAGGCAGCTAGACTGTACTTCCAGTGAGAGTATATCAAGTTTAAAACTAGGTAGATTGTTTTCCAGTTGTAATGTAAGAGTGATGTTCCAAATCTCTAATTTCTGACTAGGGAAGGCCCGATTACAGAGAGATGTTTATTAGAATTACCTTTCTCTGTTGAAAGATAATTTATTGTAATTTATTATAATTTCTTTGTTAAAACATGCACTGGTTTTGACTTTTACTTGTCTTTAGCCTCCTTAGCAGCTGAAACTTAGCTGTTCTGCTTCGTGGTTTTCAAGATATGGACTAAATTTCTTTCACGCATCGATTGCCCTGATGTGGGCTTTGTCTCAGGAGGTTGGAAGAACTGTTCTATCATAGTTTTAGTTACTTGTGACAGTGGTCAGTGAAATACTTGGGTTTGAGAGTTCTTAGGTTTGTATCTTGAGTTCTGCTGGAGTACTGAATGTAGGGTACTTTCCCTTTAGAGGAGAAGTAATATTCTTTTATCTTTTCAGTGCTTTTATTTCTTTTCAGTGCTCATTTGATATGGATTCTTAACAGGTTGTTGCCCTCAACATCTTCTCCCCTACAGAACACACAATTCTCTCATTTTGGTTTACAGTGCTTTGGACTGGTGTTTTACCACAGTGCATAGATCAAGTTTCAGGCCAATTTTTTTGCCGTATACCTGGAAGTGCCTTCCATGTGAACATATTGGCATCCGTGGATTGGGTTGGCCTTCACAGTGCAGGTGTTCACACTTACGTAGGTTAGGCTGAATGCTGCAATACAGATGTGATACAGTCATAATGAAAACATTGGGTAATACTTTGTGAAAGTGGGGAGCGTGAGACAAGGCTCAAAAAAATGCATGGATTGTGTTTGACCTTTCTTCTCAACAAATTACTGTAGTTGGTAAAGACATAATGGTACTCTGGGTGTGGAGGAAGCCTTAGTATATGGGTTTCTTCATAGAAGCATCTCTTATATATAAGAGGAAAAATGAGAGACCTGGGGCTACTAGAGAGGAGAAGACTCAATGAGGGGAATCTTATCGATGTCTATAAATACTTGAAGGGAGGGTGCAAAGAGGATGGAGCAGGGCTCTTTTCAGTGGTGTCCAGTGACAGGACCAGAGGCAATGGCCTCAGAGAACATCAGGAAATGCTTTTCACTGTGAGGGTGACAAAACACTGTCATGGGTCACCCAGAGAGGTTGTGGAGTCTCCATTCTTGGATATATTCAGAAGAAGCCACATGGACAGTCCCGGGCAAGCAGCTCTGTGTGCCCTGCTTGAGCAGGGGCGTTTGGCCTAGATGACTGCCAGAGGTCCCTTCCAATTTCAACCACTCTGTGAATTAAAATAGTATTTTTTCCAGTACTGTGTCCTCATTTCTGATCTTGTTCTCCAGAATCTGTATCGTAAAAAAAGGTGGAGATGCACCTCTGTCTTGTAGGAGCAAATAAGTGCATGCAAGTCTCAGATAAATGGTGCATTGTCAGACAAGTGTAAGACTAGGGAACATTTCTAAATGCTCAGGAGGCCTAGAACCCTGTAAGCTCTTGATGAAAACTATTGAACTCTCCATAGCACAGAATTACATCAAGTCCTTTCAGGAAAACTGAAAACTGAAAAGGTGGCATGATCTTATTTAGTGCTCACCCCTGCTGTAGCCTTTACAATATATTGTGGAACCTTGCTACAGCTGTATCTGTAGCTTCCAATATAAAGTCTTTATTATTCTTCTACACAGGTAGGGCTTTTAAGGATACCAGTTTAGAGATGATACACTGAAAAGAAGAGCTGCTCTAGACAAAGAGGGAGATTTTAATAAATCAAATATACTTATTTACAAAAGAAATTGAAATGAAGTACAATTGTAACTATCAAATAGCTATGGAAGGCAAAATAATACCAGCCTGAAATAAAATAGGCATGCAGATCTGAGAAGAAAAGGCTAAGTTATGGAAATACTTATCATGAATCATGGCTTTGACCTGTGCAGCTAAGACATATAAAGGTCTGTAAGGGAAAAAATAAAAGCTGCACAGTAATTCCCATAAATTTTAACTCCCATCAGCCTTTTTTGGAGAACTTTCATTAAAATTGGTAGAAGACCCTCACCAACACTACATACAAGTCATCAAATCCTTTATCTGGAAGGGTTAATCTGAAATAGTAGCAATTTTTTTTTAGGAACTTTTTAGGAAAGCTTTTAGCTGTTTTATGTTATCTTGTAAACTACACAATAAGCAATAAATACATACTTAATAAAATATTAGTGTGTTTAAAGGATATCAGCTATCTTTCTGTAATTCCTTTTATTAGGGGAAAGTCATCCTTGGTGGAGCAGTATTTATCAGCTGTAGTTTCTATATTTGACTTGAACCTGTGGTGAGCCTACATGCTTTCAAATTGATCGGTGGCAGTAGTACTGTCTGCTTTGGGATATAGACCAGATAAACAAAAGTAATCTCTGCCTAGACCAGCAGATATAACTGAAGTATTTGCCCTTTCAATATTTCCATACTGAATTTTCTAAATCCAAGAATAGCTGTGGACATACATATTCTAAGTTCTCCACTGATGATGGTCTTTCAATATGCGAGTATCATGTAATATTAACATTTTTCATTCAATCCTTTGCTGCTCAATAAGAGTGCAGTGTGGCAACTGCAAAATCATCTTCAGTTACTGGAGGCTGTGATCAAAGTGAAAGTCAGCAAAGGGGGCTTCTTTCTTCTAAATATACTTTTAGAGCTTTTATTATTAGCTGGTTGTGGATAACTTTTAACATGAAACCTCAAATATAGCTTGCATTTTCCCCCCAACTTTCCATTTAACATGAAGCTTTCTCAATTTGAAAATTGTGTAAAGTCTGGAATTAGATTTAACTACAGGTTAAAAAAGGTTAAAAGTAAACCATAACAAGCTGCTTAGAGACATGAAAATTTTGTGCAGAAAGGTTTTCTGGTGAATAAGGATTTTCATCAGAACTAAGGTTTTATTACAGGAAAATATCACTTCCCTCAAGACTTCCAAATTTGCATTTTCTGAAATTTAGAAGACCTGATTTCAATTTGTTTCCCTAGAAGACTACTTTAAAAATAATATGACAAAATACCTTATATTGGAAACACTAATTCAAAATTTTGCTGCTTCTATTTTGATTCAGAATTATATATAAAACTAAAATGTCAAAATCATTACAAACCAAAAGAATGTTTAAATGGATTAATAATGTGTGTTCAAATGTGCAAATGTTTTGGTTATATAGCCAGCTTCTTGGTAAGTTTTGAAGTTTGTAAAATTAATTGTTTCATGGTAAAAGAAAAAAGGGCTTTTTTTTAGTTCATTAAGGTATTAACCAGAGGATTCTTAAGTTTAATCGTAATTGCCAAATTTTATTAACAATGTTAAAGTGTATTTTAATAACACCACCATGTTTCTCAATAAATAATTTTTAATGGGAAATAACATGAATAAGTAATGATTTTTAAGAGTAATGACTTAATTATCAGTATTTTTTATAACTTTACAAAATACATTTAATCATTTGAGTAGTATGAAATTTTTATTTGGAATACATCATTTTTACTTAAGCAACTCAGCTGTAACTGTCTAATGAGATGTTTTACAATAGTAAATATGTCCTGAATAATTTCTTGAGAACTTATTTTTATACACACTTCTTTTTTTTTTCCCCGAAGCACAGAGATAGTCCTGAAAATAATCCAGATACTCCATTTGAGTTCACACCTGAAAACAAAAAGGTATGCAGACAAAAAAAAGTTCAATACACAGACTTTGTCTTTAGATCAGTAGTGATTTGTTTCCCTTCTTTCCCTTTAAAAAGCGAATAGAAGCGATAATAAACAACTACCCAGAGGGACACAAGTCTGCAGCTGTCATGGCAGTCCTGGATTTGGCCCAAAGACAGCATGGATGGTTGCCCATATCAGCTATGAACAAGGTATTTAGTACTTAATTATGTTTCAAGCAAAATTTTACTGTTTTCTTTAAATATCTTACTAGAATAATAACCTTTATTTATTGAATTATACTAACATGGGAATTGACATGTGGCACAGAACTGTGAGAACTCCCTATGAGACTACATTTTTAAAAATAAAAGGGAAAACTAATGCAGAAAACTCAGGGCTCTGTTCTTTACATAATGTTAGCTCATTGCTAGAAACTACAGACAAAACAAAAATTACATGAGCCCTATTCAGATAGACTCTTTTCCCAGAATCTTCCCGGAAGTAGGAACAGAAGCTTCAAAGATTTTGTTCTTTGAATTTGGAGAAAGAAAGAAAAGATAATGGTGGTGGGGTTTCCCTCCTCCCAGATTAGTGGCACTGCACACATTGCCTGGATTGTACTTAATCTCTAGGTCTGTAAAGACTCTGCAGAGCAGTGTTAGTGTAGTAGATGTCAGGAGTATTGTGTAAATGCCTCATAGCAAGTGCCTGGAAGACTTATCATATTATTTATTAAAATTGTTTCAAAATAAGCAAGGAAGCAACTACATTGCTCCAAAGTGAGAGGTTGCACGACAGTAACAAAATACCAAGAAAAAAAAATGGTTTATATTCATACAAATAAATCCATTGTATTTTGTGTTACAATCTGGTATGTCATCAGTTTTAAAGTGAAAAGTTTTAATGTCAGTCAAGATATGCTAAATGAGGATTGTTACAGAAACTACTGAAGTTTAATGCGCATTTAAAGAGCAACTCACGTTTCTACAGTGTAACATAAAAGCCTCAAATCTCCATTAATGATGTCAAAGTATTTTTGTTTATATAAGTTTCAGATTGGTTTTATGTTTAGAAGGATCTTAAGCCTTTTAAGTGAACAGATTTTTTCCATGATTTGTTGTTTGCCTGCTATAGAAACTGGAACATAAAACAGTTACACTATTGAAACCAGAGCCAGTTCTCAACTTGAGCAGTTTGCCAGGGTTCCAGGTTAATGAGGTCAGGGATACTTACAGCAGAACTGGCTGTGTGGAGATCTTGCTTCACTCCCTATTTTTTAGCTGTTACACCGGTCTGCAGATGTAGCCATGGCGTGTCCTAGAACTTGAGGGAGACCTGCTTTGTAAGATTAGGCGAGCGTGGTACCAGCCTGTAAGTATTGCCTTACCAAAAGGCTTAGCAAAAGGTTAGTGTGGGCAGACTGGTACAAGTTTGTTCATTCAGACAGCAGAAGTGCAGTGTGAGCTGGAGCTGGCACTGAAAGCTGAAACCCAGCTGACTCCTCGAATCTGCCTGTGTGATGTTAGGTGCTGGAGGGGAGTCGACTCCAGCTCCCTGCTGTTCTAATCCATGGCTTAGTGGAGTTTGTGCTCAAGCAGGGTGATGCCAGTCAGAGTAACTCAGGTGTCTGGTCTTGGCACTTGGAATACATTTGTGCTTTGATACCCACCCCCACACTCTTATCCATTATTGCAAACAGAGGACAGGTGACTATATTGAAATGGTTTTATAAATGCCTTTACTACTGCCCTGTCAGAGTTCAATATAGCATCTGTTTTCCCTGTGTTTCAGGTTGCTGAAGTTTTGGAAATGCCTCCCATGAGAGTGTATGAAGTAGCAACCTTCTATACCATGTATAACCGCAAACCTGTTGGGAAATACCATATTCAGGTCTGCACTACCACGCCTTGCATGTTGCGGGACTCTGACAGTATTTTAGAAGCCATTAAGAAGAAACTTGGTACGACACAAATTTGTAATATACTTTTTGTATTTTTTTACCATTGGTTAATGATACTGAAGTAAAATTCTTCACATGGGGAAAGAAAAACTGGCCGTGTTTGACTTAGTAAGGTTCATGCGGGCCCACCTCTCTAGCCTGTCAGGGTCCCTCTGGATGGCAAACATGATGTTAATGTAACTTAGGAATTCTCCACAGAAAAAGTCAATTGAGAATGCTGCATCATATGGGATGTAAGGAGTGCTCATGGGTTTTGTGTGTGGGTTTTTTCCTCCTTTTTGCATGGTTATGGGGAGAAGAGAGGGTAAGATCAGCAACTTAACAGCTCTTTTTATTAAGTCAAAAGCTGTGCTAACATTTCCCCAAGAACCAACAGTAAGAACTGCAGAACAGCTGCTGATTATCTTGCATTTCATATACTGCATTGTCTGAAAAAGGCATGTATGATGAAATTTGTCTCGTTACTGCAAAGATAGTTGAATTTCAACTGAATCTGTTAAAGCAGTAAGGATGATTCTGTAGCTTTTACTGAGACAGCAGCCTTACTTGGACTTTTATTATTTATCCCCCCCTTCCTTCTAAGAAGTGGAGCAAAACTGCTTTTCAGCATTCAGGGTTCCATGGAGTATTTTGTAGAGATCAGACTCTGTTACTTTGACTAACTTGCCTTTGGGAAAGGTCTGCATCTGTAGCAGAGGAATAATGTCATGGAAGATAGGTATGTGTACAGTGTTGTTCAGTAAATAATCCTTTGTGTATAAACTTAGAAGTTGCTTATGAATTTGCAGCTAGCACTGTTACTGCTTGGATCGTGTTAATTTGGGAATTTAATACTCAACACTGTATACTTCCACTGTTGTATTACTAAAAACTTCCTGAGAAGATCTGTTCCGTTTCTTAGAATCATCATTTCATGGTTCTCAGTGAATTACACCTCTAAATGAGGTCTCAAAGATGTATCTGAAAACCGACTTCATATTTTATTAGAATCTTCTGTTCAAGGGAAACATTTTGCACTCACTTAAGAGGGTTTAACTGTGCAAATGTTTGTAAGGCCAAAATAAAAGTAACGCAATGTCTTGGATTGGCGTACTTAGATTCATGCTTTATTCATCTTATACAATAACCACTGCTTGAACCTAATACTGTTTATTGGTTTAGGTATAAAAGTTGGGGAAACAACACCTGATAAACTCTTCACGCTGATAGAAGTGGAATGTTTAGGTGCTTGTGTAAATGCACCAATGGTACAAATAAATGACAATTACTATGTAAGTACTGCATTCCTTTTTCAAAGATTAATTTTCCTGTCTGGGTTACCTGTACATTTAGTTGTTCCAAATTCTGAAGTTTTAGTCAGTTTTCAAATTCCTATTGGCAGGAACAACTTATAACGTAGAGCATCTTTTAGTTTCTTGGCCTCTTCCTGGAACACTTCATCTGTATGGAGTGTATCACTGTACCTTGCTTTATATAAGAGGAATGATGCATTTTTGTGATAGTGGTCTACCTATAAATCTGGAATTTTTAAATAGGTAGGTATTGGACGAGCTTTTAGAAGCACTTGAAAGCAGTCTGTTGGAAAGCATGGATTATTTTAAGAAGTGTTTTCTTGAACTGTACCCACAATTTTTTTTGGTCACAGCTGGCAGCATTCTGCAGTATGTGCAGTGGTGTGTGTATAGTGGGAAGGCAGAGATGCAGCTAACACAAGAAGGAAGCTGAAAATGCAAATCCTTGTTGTACGTGGCCAGCATCAGCATTAGTTTTAACATAAATTCTGCAATTATATATAAACAAAAAAATTTAACATTAAAATGACAGTAGGCTTTTTAATTTTCCTAATTCTATAAACAAGTATATGTGTTAATGAATAGGATCAAAACTCTAAGGTCATACCTATGAGAATCTCTGATTTGATGAATTTTGAGTGCTGCAATTAGCACAATTGCTGACTCTTTCAGTTTTGTTGAAGATTTAGGGTTTTTTTGTTATTTTTTTACAGGAAGATTTGACACCCAAAGATATTGAAGACATAATTGATGAGCTAAAGGCTGGCAAAGTTCCCAAGCCAGGCCCAAGGTATGCTATACTTGGATAATACTGGCCACTACTTGAAGGCTGATGATTTGAGTTCATCAACTACAGCTTAAAAGCATTAATTTACTCAAAAGAACTGCATGCATTCAAAGCCAAAATGAACTGTGAAGAACTGAGAATTTATATGTTTCTGATGACTGACCAGAAGAGCATGAAATGTGAAAACATCAATTCTGATTTGTCTTAGTACTTCATAGGTGAATGTTACCTGTTGGATATTTTGTCTAGGTCATTTAAACCAACAAATGTGTGTTGGTTGGTCGGTTCATTGTATTGTTTTTCTCAATTTCTGAGAAAACACAAAAGATTGGAGCTTTGTAAAAGTGTTATTATTGCTGAACTTTTCTTACGTTTTTTTTCCACTGCTCTATTTTAGCCAAACTATGTGTTTGTGTCAATGAAGGAATTACTTTGACTTGAGTGTTACCTATTCCTATTGTTTCTAGAAAGATTTTCTTTTTTTTTTAAATAGAAAACCAATAATCCTAAAATAGTTTCAAAAAACACAGGGAAGCATCTGTATCAAAAAACAGGACCGGTAAAATTGTATGCTGCCTGGCCAACCTATAAATAAATATGCAACTAGTGGTCCTATCTTGCATTTCAGTTATGAAACCATTTGAATATGGAATCCTTTTAGGAGTAGCATCACACTTCTTTTGAAGGATGAATGGAACAAATAAACAAAAAAAAATAGTGGCTTCAGCCTTAAATCAGATTTGTAACTGTCTTCTACCCAGTGACAAACAGAATCTGACATTGTAACAATGCCAGCAATGAGTAAAACTGCTTTCATTTTTCAGGAGCGGACGTTTTTCTTGTGAGCCAGCTGGTGGCCTTACTTCTTTGACTGAACCACCCAAAGGACCAGGCTTTGGAGTTCGAGCTGACCTCTGAAGATTTTTGTAATATAAGATGAATTGTCTGAAAATAATAAAGTATCTGTAATCTAAGTAAATTATGTACACTCATGTTTGTTTTCTTTAAAAAAAAAAAAAAAAAAGTAACAGCAATTAGAATACCTAACTTAATGGTTTTAACTACTGCAAAGTTTAATCATAATTCCAGATTATAAGAAAAGTGGTTCTGTAGAGTGTGACTCACTGAATGAGTCCACTTATGATCACTGAGAGGTCAAAGCTGCATCTTTTGATCTGTCCCTGAAAGTTCTTTCAGCTTTTTCTAAGGTTCTTGGAAGAAACAACAAAACTCACTAAATTGCAATTCTGGCAAAAGAACCAAACTGAAAGGAGATTATCTGACAAAACTTCATCGTATTATTTTTATTTCCACTTTATAAACAAACACATACAAACAGGAAAGGTTATCCAAGCAGTATTGTGTTAAAAAAATCTGGTAGGTTCAGTAAAAAGTGATTTTCTTGATCTTAAGTACCATACAGTCACCAGGAAAAATGTGGAAATTCTTTTTATCACATTACCTAAACCCCCTCCAAATAACAGTAGTACTCTACTGAAAGAGTGAACAGCAACAAGAAGCAACTTCCCCTGCAAATTTATTCAGTACAGACAAGGTGTGCAGTTGAGGGAAGACAGAATATACCATAACAGTTTAACTCATGGCTAAGGGTAACAGTATCTCACAATGGGTATTTGATCTGTAGTTCCTCCTTTGACCTTACTGCTGTATGCCAGCTCCTTATAACAACTAATCTGTGGGAAACTGAGGCATTTCTCTCAATATAAAAAAAGATCATTTAAAAAAAAATTGACTGCATATTGATGCTTAATACCTATGCTTATAAAATTGGGCAAATGCTTTAGATGTGTATACACCAGGCATACATTTCCCTGTAAATTAGGAAATGGTGACACATCAGTCACCTGAGACCATATTGTGTCTGCCTCTTCTAAAATCTGCCATGGAACTTATGTTCTTAATGTGATAGATGAACTTTAACTGTATTATTTATAATTTTAGGTTATATTTAGTTTTGATAGTGGGATTAACAATAGTTCCCCAAACTGTTCTCCCTCTTCTGAGTTAAATTTAGTTTTTACAGATTCCCTGCATAATGACTATCTCATGTAGTCTGTTCATGCACCGTCTTTATTTCAATAGGCTCTGTGAAGTGCCTTGATATATTAATAAAAAAGTAGCGTTACAGTTGGTAATTCTAAAAGCAAAATATACCTGGAAATCATTTGTATCAAACCGTTGCCAGCTCTTCCATATTACTAAATTTATAAAACAAAATAATCCAATTGCATACAAATGCAAAAGTAAATTTAACAAATAAATACAAGTAATGAGTGAAGCAGTTTCTGAATAAATATGAAAAAAGCTTGTGTAGAAAACGGTGCACTGGAGAAAACAGTACATGGCATGAAATATTATCTGTCATTTAAAGTTCCTGAACGCTCTTCTGAAAGGTCACTCCATGTTTGTAATAGCCACAGGCCTTGTAGCAGGCCAGGCATCTGGCACTATGTAGGACTTTGAGACATGAGACAGAGGGAATATTCCATCCTGATGCAAAGACAGATTCAGTATCCCAGTCTAACTAAGCTGCTTGCTCAACTATAACAGTTGTTTTCTACTTCATACAGTCTCACCTTATTCTAACCTGGGGTGAAAGCAGGCAATTATTTTTGAAGTACATGTTGGATAAAAATGAGGATTTTGCATGCATTGTGGAGCTCTCGTGCTGCAGATACTCACAGTTTTGTACCTGACTCTGAAATCAATGGGATTGCCTAATCACGTTGAAGGGAAACATAGTTTTAGACCTGTCAAATTTCAAACTTCCAAGTATACAAAACCAAAGGTCTAGAATGGCATGCTCTTCTCATTTGTAAAGCCAGACAGAATTTGTGGCCTTGTCCCACTTTTCTTCCCAATTCATTCTATCTGCACATGAAAATTTTGATGTCTGTCTCATCAGCAGAACATGGACCTCAAAGGTTTCCCATTTGTTGAAGACTGTTACTGATATTCCACAGACAAGTTGTCAGTCATTTTGATGCAACACACAAGAGTCTGTCAATCAGTTCATCAGAAATGGATAATTTACATTATCCTTACTGTGTGGCAAAAATCTGATACATTGCTGTTTGAGTATTGTAAGGCAGCTGTAAGACTGTGAAATAATTGAAGAATATAACCATTACTCTTCTCTCTCATCCTACCCACTTTATCAATTATATGAGGCTTTATGACTATGGTTTCTACATCAAAAAAAGTTTGGGCATTCATTGTATTGAGATAAATGATAAAAGAAAATATTCACATCTTGCATTGTTTAAATTTGAACATTTCAAACATCTCAAACCTAGAAATACATATTCTGCAATACTTATTACATGTAGTTGTTTACTGTATACAGAATTATTTTCACAATGGTAACTTATGTGGGACTGTGATGAGAATCAACTAAGTTATCATTATGAAAGAGTTCCAGAACAGGGCAAGAATTGATCTATCCAAGTTCTCTTTTCTGTTCTTGAATAGCTGTACATAGAACTTGTGCTTGTTTTTACTAGTAGTAAAAAGGTATATTTGACTAGTAGTAGAATATTTGAGGTAATAAATATTAACAGGACATATTTTCATTATCCTTAATCACAGCGTGTTACTAATATTAATTCTGGGCAGTGGCACTAACCTGTCAAATAATTAAATACTTGAAATTCTGCAGTTTCAGTCTACCAGTTAATATCCTGGATTGTAAAGAGTACTGGATGGTACGTTAAGCGAAAAATGAGTCAACTACAGCAACACTTAACACATTCCTGTAACAGGTAATGCAGAAGCAACAGAACTGATTCTTTTCATCGTCTTGTTTGCTCCCCTTCAGTGAGGGAAAAGAACTTACATTAAAGAACTTACATACCATATTAATTCTCTGAAAGTGGAGGAAAAAGAAGTAAAAGAAACAGGGAGGAAAAAAAGACTACCTAGAGATGATTTTAAAATAGGTATAGTCTTGAGAAAGAAAATGTGATTTAGAACACAGAAGCAGAAGACACACAAAGCATCCACTGAACTGAAAGAGTGGGAGGTGGCGGTTCTTTCCTTTGGTGGAGTAATAGAAAACTCCACTTGATACCCAATGATGTGTTTGGTGTTGGATAACAGAAAGGATTTCCATGGCCACCACACACTGCTAGGAAAACGTCATCTGGAACAGTGTTCTGTCATTAAATAGGAAGAAGCAATGAAACTCAGTTCCACCTGTGCAGAAGTTGCTCGGCCCAGCGGCTGACCTACCAGTTCTACTAAAGGCTGGTGCGTGTGCTTTCCACCTGCGTGACATCCTGCGAATTCTTAGGATCAAGTTCTTAGGGTCAAGATTTTCGTACTGCAGTCTTAGATTTTCAGTCCTTCAACTGCTAGACTGAATTCAGCAATGACACGGTTCTGCCAGATACTGAACCTGTTTGCCTTAAGACCAGTAGTTCACACAGCTGGTAACGCAGGATGTTTCACTGGGGAGAGCAGATCAAGTGAAGTGCTTCACACACTGTGTAGCTACAAAAGCATTTTGCAGCTGTGCTCTATGTAGAAGGGAGGGGCTTCTGCAGACAAGGGGAAGAAACTAATGTAGGGGTAGCAATTAGCAGTCAACTGACTGGTGTTTTTCATTAGTCCAAACATTTTTTCAGTTACTGATAGATATTATTACCAAATCTTAACATCTGTTGCAGATGTTGCTCACGAAACTCAGCTGCTGCTTCTGAATCCCTCCTAACATGCACCCAGCTCCTGGAACTGCACGCTACTCATACACAAAGATCAAGATGCAGAATCACAATGCCGTGCCACATCTGTAGGCTGTCACGTTTTAGAGTGTGAAACTCTGTATAATACTCTGAGAAGAAAAATTATTCTGCCTTGGGAAACAGTTCTTACTCCCCTTAAGGCTGTCTGCCTTTCAATCTGCTTGCCACACAAATGACGATCTCTGCAATCAACCTGACAAGAAAGAATATGAATTGAAGGGAACTCCCTTTGTTACATGGCCACTGATGCTGGCAGATGTGCTCCTTTCAGTACTCACTGTACACTGACGGAATCAAATGGAAACAAAGGCAGTTGCTTTATAACACAAATGACCTGTTTCAGCATCTGTAGAGTAAGATTGTGAAAGAAAATGAGAGAAGTTTGCCTAAACAGTAAGCTGTCGTGCAGCATGAGAATATGAGAGATCTGTGATGCCTTCTTCTACCCATGCTGGTACATGATGGGTGGAGACCTGAATATAAGGCAAGTCCACAATAGGCAGCCTTAATCAAAGTAATCTTGTAATTCTGAAAGAAATTCACTTTTCTGACGAGAACAGTAAATACTAGGGATTTTCTACACAACAACAGATGATCCAGTACCAGAGTGAGCACAGCAATTAAGACTATGCTAAAGGGCTTTGTTTAGCTGCCTTCTCAAAATACTACACCTGGTAGCTAAACAATCTTTAGCACCTCCCAGAAGCAATGCGAACAGTATTATTTAGGAACCCAACAGTACAGCACTACACAGGTTCCACAAGTCTCACCATATACTACTGTATTTAATAAGCAGATGCAGAACCTTTCACGAGGGCAGATGAATGACCCGTTTCCAAGGCTGCAACCACGGCTAGGACGTCAGTCTACTTCTGAAACCTCTTTCCATGCGTTTATACGACGTCTGGTTTATTGGTGCAAGCAAGGCACCCCCAAAAAAACCTGAACACCTGAAGGCGTCTGGTCCTGCAACTCCACGCCTGCCCCTGCCAGGAGGGAACGGCAGGCGGGTGCGGATGGGGAACTGTGCCTGAGCCGGGGAGGGATGCGGCACTGAGCAGAGCCCCAGGCGCGGCGGGATCAGCAACGCGCAGCCTCTCCCGAGGGCGAACGGCCCCCCGGGCTCTCCGGCACCGCGCCACACGCACCTGCGTCCGGGGGCTTCTCCCGAGAGCTGCGGGACCTTTAGCCGCAGCGCCTCCGTACCGGACCGCGC